GTTCTCCTTGGTCCACTAGTAAGCAAGCAGATGTGTCTGAATTTAAAAAAAAAAAAAAAAAAAAAAAGTAGATGTTTTCTTGATTTTTACAAGTCTTTTGCCAAAATTAGTGAATCTTTCAAACTATCAGATAAAGCTTATTATATTAATATATTGTTACATATCTAAAAATGCTTTTGGCTAGCATTTCTCTTGTAGATAACCTTACTTTATGGTTTGACCATTCTTAGCTTACTTGCCCTCTTTGGAAAATAAAGTGGTAGTATTCTGGTTAATGAAAGAAAGAGAGTGACTCTTTTGGGTTTTGTGCAGACTGATGCATATATGTTGGGGTTTTGTGGTTTGTTTGTTTTTCCTAAATTGGCATTGATACTGAAGAACTGAAATCGCACTGAACACCACGTAAGATTTACGCGCTAACATCAGCTTTGAATATGAGGCTTAGGTTTCAGGATCAGTTAGACAGGACATGAAATAACTTGGTAGAGTTCCAAAAGGGAAACAGCTCCATATTCCATGGGCAGCTTCTCTTGTCAGAGCGGGTGCAATAATGTTGAGGATGCTTTTTTCTTACAGGTAGAAATGGTGGAAGTGACGGAAGCAGCATAATATTGCATTTTGGAAAGGAATGGAGATTCCTTAAGGTGGTAACACGTTTTCCTTCCTGCAGCATGCAGTGAACCAGAAAGCCACAATGACAAATTTTGTCACTCTGACAAGAATAAATATTTTTCAGAGAAAGTTTGACACTCAGACTCAGAGATTGGAGTTGCATCAAAACTAATTAATAAAAAAAAAATCAATTGTGTAATTTGCAGAAAGTTAAAGGCCACCTTTTCCCCTCCCTCCCTTTGAAGTTTTCATGAAAAATATTACTGCAATGTGAGCAAGACCACAATAATTTTTCTGCATCTCTATTATTTTAGAATGGATAATTCTGCTCATTTTGTCAATGTTCTTAATAACGTATAGTTCTTTAAAATTCACTATTCTGGCAATTGCGGCAGTTTTTGGCAAGAGGTAAGCAATGCTTTTGGACTGCAGAACAGTGGTGATTAGTGAAAAGGTTAAATTTACACTAACTTGTCTTGTCACTTTGACCTAGACGGAGGACGAGTACAGCAGCTTTTAACAGGCTATTATTAATCATATCCCTGCAATACCAAATAAATGTTATATCATTCAGTTTTATAATTTCCAACCAGAGAGCACTGACTGACTGGTGACTTCACGTGTTTTGATCTATGCTTTCCCTGTCAGTAATAAATTTCCTGCCCTGCCACTGCAGTCTCTACATTTGTTCGGATTTTGGCTGAGTAGAGAATAAAGTGGTACTGTAGTCAGAGTTAAACTGAGGAATCTGACTTTCCTTATCAAGCCTTCCCTTCCAGCAGGCCTGGAAGAAGGGAACCGTGACCAGTACTATGTATACCTATCAGCCTAAAGAATAAGACCAGTGCTCTTGCTCCTGGGAACTGGCACGCGTTGCAGCACGCGCAGCGAGTTTGCTTCATGGGACTCGCTTTTTTTTTTTTGTCCTCTCTCCTGCAGAGATGCTTTTTATATGAGCAATGAGTCTGATATGTTCTAATTATGTTGGATTTACTCTGTATGTGCCATAAGTCTGACAAAGCCTGGATGAGTCAGATCTATTGCCTGGGTGATTTGCCCGCGAGAGCATGTGTATGTGGACATCTGAGTTTCTTAATGACTGGAGCCACAAGGCAAGAGCATTTCAAATGCTTGGGTAATTGGAAGTGCTCCTCTTTGGCCCAGGCGTGGTTTCCGAGTTGAAGCAGAAGACACGTCCATGAAAACCTGAACATTTCACGGCCCTGAGCATGAACAGGGAAGTGGTGGTGCCACTCCATACTTTGGCCTTCTGTTTGGGAATTGGTGTCAAAGGGTCTTTGCCTGTTTGGGAGCTGTGTTTGTGTCGATGGGTTCTGGGAAGTTTCCAGTGGTGGCCTCTGGGACATGGAGGACAACACTGTTGATTTGCATTCTCTCTGTTTGTTTGTTTGTTTTTCTCCTCTTAAAAATTCTTAGGTTTATTTTGTTTTGCTCAAAAGCATATTGTGGTTTGGAATGGTGTATAAACAAAAGGTAGCACGGTAAGAAGGGTATTGCTGTTCCTTTCACGTTTTTTAGCTTTAATCATTGCCATCTTTCCACGCGAGTTCTTTAGTCCAGCAAATAAGCTGCATCTGATGAGATCTCTTTCCTTATCTGAGGACCCTTCAACATGGAAAGGAACAGGATCTGTTTCTATAAGTCAGAAATATTAGCTGGCACCCATTATAAAGAGAAATGTTATTTTTTGTAGGAGCACAAGGTTGTATGCAGCAGCTGTTCTAGCCATTCATCTTTGATTCATCCCTGCAAGTGGGATATATTTGCATAATGCGGGCGTTTTTTGGAGGAAGGGAGGAATAGGGTGGATATTTTGTTTCTTTTTTTTTCTCTTTTTTTCCCTCCCTCTCTCAGTTTCAGCACTTTTTCAATTTTGACATGATTTTCTCTCCTGCTGCCAGCTAGCAACAAAAGCAAAAAAGGATCTAATTTATTTAATAGTATTTTAAATAGTATAGAAAGTTTCCTTTTATATGCTCAGTCCTTCTCCTGTGCTGTGGTAAAGGGTGACAGCAGCAAAGTGGGCAAAAAACTCTTCTCCCTAATACTCTTAACATACCAATGCCCAGGCGCTATCATCACCAAGAGTCATTTCGGCAAGATGCTCTAACTCAGGTTGCGATATCTGTGGAGCAAAATGTGAGGGCTGGCAGTTCACGGGAAAGCAGGCTTTACCGTGTTAAGAGCTGTAAGGGAGGCAAGACGTGAACTTGCAGTAATCCAGCCTTTGCAGGTTTGGTTCTCTGTGTCTTTTCTCCCTGACTCACTAAGGCAAATCCAGACTTTGCTTTCAACTTTTGCTCATGTAATTCTTAAGATTAGATTAAACTCGTTGCTAGAATAAAAGTTGAGCTTTGTAGGTAGAAATCCGAATCATGAAATGAGTGGTGAGGGGACAGTGGGAGGGTTGATGTACGTATAGAAAGCACTAATATTGCCAGGTTTATTTAAAAAAAAAAAAAGGAGGTGTATAGCCTTCTGTGTAATGTTTCAAAGCCTAAACATTCAGCTTCTCATTCTGGTGTAGTGAGCGTATGCATAAATCACTAGCATACTCTGCCTTAAAGACATGATGCTTGTAGTTGTCTGCACAACTTGCTCTGTGGGTAATGGTTATAATTAATTACTCGACGCACTGCAGGCTCTCAGTACTTTGTCATCAATGCGCACGGGTGGCAGGTAGTTGGGTGCTGCTGACTGGGGCTTTCGAGCATTTTCTACTGCACAGTAATATAAAAAAGCAGAACTCTGCCATCTCCCAAGATTAAAATTTGCCCTTGCCTTTCTGAAAAGTGGGAGGCAAAGAGAGGGTGATGCATTGGCTTCTCAACAAGCTTCAGCTACCACCTAGATGCTGCAATTCAAGATGACCTTCCCTCCTTTAGCTTCAGTTGATCCCCATGCTGTAAAGTCACCATCTAAAATCTGCTCTTAGCAGCTTCTGCAGCAGAGTTTGACGTGGCCAGATTTGGTGGAGGGGTGTATGTATGCACGTATATGTGTGCATAGGATATGAATTTGTAGTTTACAAGGAAATAGGTAAATGATAAAAATCTCAAGTACTTGGTGATAGCGAGCAGGAAGTTGGCGAGAAAATGTGGCATGGTAAACGTAGGTCCCTGTCTCCTCCTTGTTTCATATCCTGCATATGAGAAGTTTCCTGGGTACAGAGCGTTTTTATGCAGTACTGCTTAGGTGTTCAGTAGGTTTCTTGAAACTTTCATAGGTCAGAAAAGCGTTGGAAAAAATATGTGAGTGCTTTCGGTCACCTAATTTAGTCACTTCACGTAAGTGGGTAAACAGTGATTCCTGGCAGCCTGCTGCCTTTGATTAGGTTCAAGGGTGACCCGGTCCTTGGTAGTACCTTGGCTCTGCGCCGAAGCCTTTCAGAATCAAAGACCTGAATGCGTGACTTAAGTGGACTATTACTATTCTTCACTAGTCTTTTTCAAGTGTATTTTGCTGCTGTATGATTCTTGTCTCGTTATTTAAAATAAGACAGCGATTGCTTGATCTACAGTACATTTTCTGTGTCAGTAATGAAAAAAGGCAAGATAATTTTTTGGATGTTTCTATTGTTTTTATCTTTAGTTCTTACAATAGGTTAACACCTTGAAGTGTTCTTAATAAAGCATCTTTTCTTTTTTTCTTGGACTTCTTTTTGTATTGTTTTGAGACCTTAGAGACTTTGTATTGTTTTGAGACCTTAGAGACTAACAGCGTTTTTCTCTTGAACTTTTTCTAGTTTTGTGGGAAAATGAGTGAACACTAAAGTCCTGCCTGCCTGAATCTGGTCATGGTTTTCACTCAGGCCCGTATTTCATCCCATATTTGAGGCCTGTTTAATTTGAACAGTGGTTAGGGCACCAAGGGAAATGTTGAGAGTTTTTCTCAAATTCATATATCCTGTGGATTTTATTAATTCTTTGACTTCTCTTCTGATTCTCATCACCACCCAGTCTGCCAGTTATTTTAAAGAATATATATCTTTTCTGACTCTCTTTCTGTTTGGTTCATTATGGTGTAGTTAAGTGCCTTACACTGCTGCTATGTTGTCTCGAAATACAGATGTTTAGTGACTGCTGTAAATGTCTGAGAATTGCCTATGAGCTGTCTTTTAACACTTACTGTTTCTTTGTTTCCTTATCACCTAGGAGCTGATGTGGTAGAGCCAGGACCCCACTGTGCTAGGCTCTGCGCAAACACGGACCAGAGGCAGTAGATGATTACAGAGTGATGGTGACTAAAAGGTAGGTAAGAGACTGTATTTTGTTCAGTGGGTGGACAGTGATGTCATGGACAGATTGTATGATGCTATCTGGAAAAAGGATAGTGAGAGAGCTTTTTAGGTCTTTACAGGTATTCTGCCTCTCTCTCCTCCCTGGAAATGGGAGGAATGCAAGAAAAACAGAAGCTGCCATTCTCCTTTCTTTTTCGCACTCTCAAATTATACTCAACTTCAAAAAGAGAAACTATGTAAAAGTGAGGTTTCTTGCTTGAAGAAGAGCTAGCAAGGACAGCTGTAAGAGCAAAATGTTTGCAGGTGGCAGAGATGCTATTTCAGGATGCTGTTTTGGAGGCTTCACACAAATGTTTACAAATGTTTACAAACTGTCAGACTAAACATAAAATTAATAAATGCTTTTTTTCAAGCAGGAGAGAGCAGGAGGCCTGCTGAAGGGTCTTTGGGGCTTGTGTGTGATCGCATTATAGAGGTAATCTAAGATAAAGCTGCAGGAGAAAACTAAATATTTTAAGTTTTGTATGCGTCTCTACTCTCCCTTGAAATGCTGGGACTGGGTCTTATTTTGGAAGCCATCATATGGGAGGCTTCTCAGGTTGTCTTTGTCCACTGGAAGTCTTTGTAGGGGAGTTTATGGAACAAATTGAATGTTCCCAATTTAATAGGACTAGATATAACTCGCCCAAGGCTTTAAGGAGCTGAAGGGCTGAGTACACCAGCTACAGACTGTGGTGTGCAGCCTCTTGCTTAAAAGGATCTCGACAGCTGAGGATTTGAAGTTGTCTAATTTGATGTTAAATATTAGAAAGTATTCATGGGGGATCTGAGAACGTACAAACCAGTAAACCTCGTGCTTAAATTGAGTAGAGTAATTAAAAAAAAAAGATTAGATTAGTGGATGTGTTAGAAAGGACACTGGATAAATATGACACAAATACTGTGAAAGAATTGGTTTCTGTGAAGTAGACCCTGATGAAGAGGAGGCTTAGAGACAAATTAATATGAGCCTATAACTGCTTGAAGGGCAGTTACAAAGATGATAGAGCCCACAGTCTTAGTGGTGGGTGGTCAGTTCTCATAGCAGTTAGAAATCACCTGTGGATTTCCACAGATCTGTGGCAGCCCCACGGGGATCATTACATTTGTAAATGGCTTGGGACAGAGAGCAAAGTTTGGTGATAGAATTTGTTTCTGATACTAAGTTATTCAGGGTAAAAGAAGAGAAGGCGGAGTGGAAAACTGCAGAAGAACCTTACGAGACTAAGCGGCCATTAAAATGGTGGGTGACGTTCAGGGTCAATACTTGCAAAATTTTTTGAGCTGGCCCTTGCCAGGCAAGAATGAGCTCTTGGGATTAGAAGCAGTAATTTCATGAAAAAAATGAGCTCAGTACTTAATAGCAGTCAAAAAACAAATTTATATCAGGAATAGTGAAAGGATAGAGATGAAAATGTCATTATGGCACTCTCTAAATCGATGATGTGTTTGTGTCTTGAATACAGTGTGCAGTTCTAGTCTCCTTATCTCAGAAAAAAGTAGAGTAGAATTGGGGAAGGTTCAGAGAAGGGCAACAAGAACAGCTTCCATGCAAAGAACAGCCAGCTATAAATCATGTTTTCTAGGTTAGAAAAGAGATAGTGGCCAGATGATAACAGTCGAAGTCTACAAAATCATTGGACGTGTGAGGAGCATGAATTGGAAATTATTGTTTCGTACCATCTTATGTTTGTAACAGAAGAACTATCAGGTAAAGCTGACAGGTAGCAGCTTTCTTGAAAGCGCAGAAAGGAAGTTGCTCTGCATCCAATAGGTAAGCTAGCTCTGGAATTGCTCACTACAGGATGGTGTGCATGCTGCCCGGTTATAAAAAGCTACTGAGCAAAGTTAGAAAAGGAAAAATAAATCAGAGCTGACAAATACAAGATACTACCGCTAGGTTAGGAACCTATTTGCTGCAGAACGTAGAAAAGTTGTGTGTTCTTGGAGGAGAAGAAAACTATATTTCTACGCAATAGCTCTGTTTTCTTCCCCGTTCCCAAGGCCTCTGTTGTTGACTGCTCCTGGAGACCGGGCACTGGGTCAGACTGGATATTTAGTCTGAGACAGTTCGGTCCTTCACTGAGGCTGAACAGCTTGGCTGGCCCACTAGGGCCATTTGTATGCACTGAGCATTTTATAAATAGTAAGGTTGCAGGGTGTAGTCCCAGCAGAGGACCCTGATAGAAGCATTTAAAAAACAGACCGCGAAGCTGTTATGTCATTTGAGGTCCTGTGCTGCACTCAGACTTCACCCTCATTGTAAGATGAATACCTTTTGGCTTATTTTGGCATTTGATATATTACAATTAAATTAGTCTTAATGTATTCAAGCTGTTTCACTGAGAGTTCAGTTCCTAGTCCAAAATCTCACTTTTTTTCTGACTATGTTCCCTGTACAGTCTGTACTGCCTGCCAAAGAGAGATGAATTACTAGCATGCTTTTTGTCACTTACATTAGTCCTGGTGACACACATTTCTGTGTAGAGAAGGTAGATTTCGAGGGGAGAGATAAGCAGGATGAAAAGACAAAGCCTGGAGAGAGTTCCAAGAGAATGAGAAAAGAATGCTAAATTTGGAGATACTTCTGAGTTTGTGACTTTGCATGAGAGGCAAAACGTTAGAGTTATATTATGATGAGTAAAAGAGAAAAGATAAAGGCTATAGAGTTACATGACAGCAGTTGAAATGGTGAAAACTGATAAGGAGTGCTGGAGGAGAGAAAGTAATAGAAGATTAGTGTAAAATGGATAATAAAAAAAAGGAGGAATTGAATGGGAAGTTGTAAGCAAGGATTAAAAACCTTCTCCAGAAGTTTTGCAGAGTTAACAAAACATGACATGAGGACAGCACAACTGTAAGAACTTAGAAAGGAGCAGATAGTGGGAATGAAAGAACCCAGGTCTGTGCTTTTGATTCAGTGGTTCATGGCTTGATATGGATGGATCTGTGAAAGCAGTAGAGAGTCTTTAAATTTGCTCTACCAGTAACTGTACTTCCCCAGGACAATTTTCAAGGGATCTGCAAATCAAATAAAATGGGAGAGGATAAAAAAGTTTTTTCATTAGATTAAAGAAAGTTGTTGCTCTCGGTAAGGAGTTTTGGTAAAACAGTAGCAGAAACAAGACTAAAGCAGCTGAAATGGGGACTTAAAAGAAAGGAATTTTAGGCAACTTGGCCAAAAATGGTTAAGACTAAGGTGAAATGAATATTTCAAAGAATAATGCGCTGCGAGTTCTGAGGCAAAAGCAGTTTTTCTTGCAGGGGGCACGAAGGCATGGTTTTAGATAAATGAAGGAGAATCATAGAATGAGATCAGTTACAAGGGAAAAAGGAGGAAGACAAGAAATTGCTGTCTCAGCCGCTTCCCAAACAGCCTGTTTCTCTGAGCGTATTGGCAAGGGAGGTTCCTTCCTCCTGTCCTTTCTGCCTGTGCGTCTTCCTTGGCGTTGGTGTGTTGTGCCAGGAGGTTTCCTTTTGTGACCAGGCTTGGAGAATTGCAGCAAATGAAGCATAACAATGAAAAGTCCGTTGTTAGTTATTGGTTCTGTTTATGTTAGAAGTTAACTGCGTTGTTTCAAGCCGGTAATGGCAATTTCAGACTGGAATGAGGGAGCTTAATGCTCTTTCAGGACCTCCGCGCCTGGTATAGAACGTAATTTCAGACCACTGAGCTGCAAACAGCTTGGCACCGAAGTGATGAATTGTGTTGTGCTTGACACTGCGTATGAGGTGAAGGAGGATCAGAGAGGAATGGACACGGTCACTATCTCTAATGGAAAGACCCTTTGTTTCTTACTACAGAGAATGACCCTCTTCCCATTAAAGCCTGTTTTTAAGTCCCTAAGATTAATGGCATCTATAAACTGGGTCTTAACACCTGATGTGAAACTAAATGGTCTTTGATTTATAATTTTTAATCTCCTTTTTAGCCTTAAAAATCTAATTAAGAATAAAGTTCTCCACACCCACCACTCCAAACTCACCCCCTCCCCAACATCACACTTGTTCTTCTTCCTGCCCTTGGGATGCTGTCTTTTAAGTATCCCAGATATATTTCAGTGAGTTGCTTTCCCTTGTCTGGCTTGTTGAAAATGTCAAAGAATTTGTAGAAAAGGGCGCAGTTTTGAGACTCTTTGAGATATCTCCGTTGCTGCAAGTTCTGTGCATGTATTTTACATGACATTGATTTTTGTACTTACAGTGTGCATTGACACAGGGTGTATAATTTGTTTGCTATGGAAGCCCTTTTCTACAACAACACTGAGAGGGATTTGAGTTATTTTTCACTCAGCTTCAGGTTGCAGCTTTATAAAATATTTTATGGAATATACACTGTTGGAAAACATGCAAGATTAACAGCTCTGGAAATTGAAATTCTAATTTATCCATGGACTGGATAGCACAGTCTAGTTTGGTACAAGCTCTGTATCTTGGCAATGTGATTCGTGTTGAACCTGCTGAGATGAACTCTGTTTCAGTTATTTAATATTTACAGAGCACTGAAGGTATGCAAAGATTTTTGGACAGCGAGCGAGCCATGTTTCAATTTGTGTTTTCATTTCTTTGTATGTATTATGTTTAGTACAGTGTAGATACAAGTTCGTATCTTTAAAAAGCAAAGGAGTATAAACTCCCCACTGAAGCGCCCATGTAAAGGAGATGTGCTTAGCTGTAGTTGTATGGTATCCCTAGAAGCTCATATGGCTGTAGTGGTTGGACTAATAAATGTTAAAATGCTATATGAAAAAAGGAAACAATTAAAAAACCCAAATGCATCATGGTAACTTTAGCAATACAGCTTCTCTGCTAGAAGGCTAGACGCCCTCGTGGCAGGAGCCTCTTACCGCGTTCCCATCTCTGCTTTAGGGGCTCTTCAGGAGCACGTGAGTCCCCTCCTCTCTCGGTGCATGCAGAGGCACAGTGTAAGCATGCAGAGGTACAGTGTAATCAGCTCACTTCGCAAGATGA